CCCCTGCGCCGGAGCGCGCCGCGCGGCCGCCGCCAGCCCCACCGAGGCATCCCGCGCCGCCCGGGCCCGGCCGGGCTGGGGGCGCCTCTGCGACAGCTGCGGGCCGGGAGGGAGGCCGGGCCCAGGACGCAAGGTGGCGACAAGTCGCGGTTGGCCCCAGGTAACGGGGGTCTGGCGGCGGCGGCGGCGCGCCGGGGTCACCCGGGCGTGAGCGGGGGAGGCCGCCCGGCACCGTGGGGTCGGGGAGGCCTCGGGGGCGGGAGCACGGGGACAAGCTACCCTCCGAAAGCTGGTGGTCATCAACGGTGGTGACACTCATGGCAATCCCAAGCCCGCTGGGACTCCCGGGAGCCCTGCTGTGGGTGGCAGTGTGCTGGGAGCTTCACAAGCGTCCCCCCAACCATAACTACGGAGTTGGCTGCATTCTGAACCCCGCTGTATCCCTGACAAGGGACATCAGGGGCAAGGGGGGCGGGCAGAGCCGAGGAGCAGCAGTGCTGGGATGCCAGTCTCACTTGGTTGGATTTCCAGGGCTGGACTCCCAGCGACTCTGCAGCGTGCGCGCTCTGAGTTACATCAGTGAGCCAGCTGAAGACAGACAGACGTCCAGGAAAGAGACCCAGCCTGTTCTCTTAAGTGAACCCTGCTACTTTCCTCCCGGGATATCTATTTGCTGGGTAAGCCTGAGCCAGCAGCCCCTTGCTCTGCCCCTCAGCCACACCGAATTCGCCCTGCAGGGTGCTAGTCCCACTGGACCAGCTCCACACCCCATTCCCTAGCCTTAGGGCCATCTTTCTGACCAGCGAGGGTCACCCTGCAGCCCTGCACTCTGTTCATTTCCTTCCAGCTCTTAGAATTTGTCAGGTGTTTTTATTTCTTCTTACAAGTCTCTAAGCTTCCTGAAGGCAGGGGACCACGTCTGGCTGTTTTTGCGTGTGTGTTTGTGTGTGTTTGGGTTGCACTGTTTTGCCAGTGCTCAGCGTGGTAAAGCCAGAATCAAGGAACATGGTGTTTCTCAGGTACTCTTTTTTTTTTTTTTTTTTTAATATACAGAGAATCATTTCTTGCCTGCCCAATAAGATATGCATGACGGACACTTTGATGGCCATTTCTAGGACCATGCAAGATCACAAGGGGCCTTGGATGTCAGGCTACGTGGGAGCCCAAACTTTAGTCTGTAAATAAGAAGGGGCCTTGAAGGTTTGGGGGGAGAGTGATATCCTTAGAGCTGTGCTTCAGGCAGTGTGCTTCAAACTGTGTGTGCCCCCAAAGTCCCTGGGGATCCTGTTAAAATGTAAATGCTGATTCAGTAGGTCTAGCATAGGCCTGAATGCTCTCCATTTCTGACAAGCTCCTTGGTGACACTAAATGACTGCTAAGCCATTGTCTGCCCCTTAGGTATCTTGGCCTTTGAGAACTATTTGGAAATTGTTGTAAGAGTCTTAAGTGAGCACCTCTTTCAGAACCCCCAAGCAGATAGGGCAAGTGGCTGGCTGAGCAGACCCACAAATATATGTGGACAGAAACGAGAAGTACATTGTGGAGGGTGTTTTGGTTGGGAATTGCATTTTGATCATAGCAAAAAGGTGGAAACAGGTTTAGTTTCCTCATGAAACAAGAGAAGTGGAGGTCCGTGGTTGCTGGCATTGATTGATTTAGCTGAAGGACTGAATCTCTGAAAGGCTTTTGGCCCTTCCCTCATGATCAAAATAGGCTGCAGACAATCTAGTTGTTCTGCATTCCACACAGAAAGGAGACGAGGGAAAGAATAAGTGTTTCTAAGTCAGCGCCTCTCAGAAGAGCTTCCTAGAAGCCCTATGGGATAACAAGCACAGAGCGCTGGCTACCACTCTTAGCAAGGGAAGGTGGGAAATGGTTCTGGATGCCTTTCCTTACAGCCAGACGCAGTCCTAGAGGAGATCCTGCCATTTGGGCCTCAGCATTTGGGCTGCCTCTGTCTTCTTGTAACCCACATGGGCACATTCCTTGGGTGCTTTACGGTGATGGTAACAGCAGGCTCCAATTACCAAGCACATGCCACCATGCCCCAGGCCACTGGTATTTAAGCATCGTCTTGGCTGTGCATGGTAAATGCTCTTACAACCTCTGCTTTGCAGATGAGGCTTAGAAGGCTTCATGTTTTCTGGCTTTCTGCCACCCATAAGCATCAGAGCTGGGATCACCAGACAAAAAGCCTGAGTTCAGAGCCTACCCTTGCCACCACCACAAAGTCTGCCTCTTAATGAAAGAAAGCCCTTGAGTTTGTCAAGACGACCAGCAAGCAGACAGCAGATGCTCACGCGCACCCAGTCAGCCCCTCTGGAGAGGGAAGGATGTTTCAAAACGGTCGAATCCGACATTTAGACATTACAAAGAGAGACATTAATGGCCCTGGAGCTGGAACCTCACCTTCCTGGTCCCTGAATCAAAAAGTTCCCCGCCTAGTTGAACTTCTAAGATCACGTGTTCTAACAAGTACCCGTCCTCAACAAGCCACCTCACCCCTCGGAATCTCAGATGTTCCCATTTGCAAAACGGGACATTGTCCTCCCGGTTATTTCTAGGGGTCTTGGGTTCTGCGGTTCACGAGGACACGGGAGGTAGACAGTCGTGTAACCCAGTGGGGCGAGGTTTAGTCTTCAGAAAAGGCACCCAAGAAGAGCCATTAGTTCCTTCTCATTTAAATTTCTGGGTTTTCCATTGTTACCTGGGGCCCAATGTGCTTCCATCTGGGGTTTGAGATTTGGTTTCATCATCTGCACAGAATCAAAAAACAGAAGCTGGCTGTCTTGCAGCCTTTATGAGTGTGCACGTCTCATTCTCAAGGTTTGTGCGGTCAATCAATACGTAAGACCAAGCCATTAGCATTTCATTGGCCAGCACCACTCCGTTTCCGTGTGTGGGTCCTAGAAAGTTTCCAGGAGACTTTTTCCTGCTTCCTTAGGACCCAGAGCACATCAGAGCAAAGCAGGTCTCGGAGGTTTTCCTCTATAAAATTTTTTTATGTTTTGTTAATAACCAACTTTTTCCTTTTGCACGTAGATTTAAAGTTGGAATTTCCCCCAAAATCAGTTGTCACCTCTTTGATGCATGTGTAGAAGGTGTGGCTGCTAAGGGAGATCCTGACTGTTGAGGGGAGCTCGCCGGCTGTCCTGGATAGGTCCAGCCAAGGCCATGGTTCCCAGGATCACGGAGCCATGTTGGCCACTGTCTCCTGGCCAGCCTCAGTCATCTACCAATGACCACAGTGGACTCCAAGTTAGAGACGGTTGATGCACTAAACTGCATCCCCGGCTCTTAGAAAAGATGAGCCAATGTCTGAAGCCAGTGGATGCCAGATGACCAGAGCGGGGCACTCAGGCTGGCCCTTCCCCCAAAGGAACTCTAACTTCAAGAAGGGAAACAGGCTCCGGAGTCAGGTTGACCCTGCTTCATATCCAGGTCCCAAGGATGCACAGTTAGTGTGCATCCTTGGGAAAGTCCCTTGCCTACTCTGAATCTCTGAATCTCAAAGGCCTTGGCGAGGAAGATGCAGTGACCCCATTAAGTCCTGTGTGTTTCTTGCTGCAATATTGCAATGGAATTGACATAGATGCATTGAAATAAGGTTGGGAGTCATAATTTAGAGCCTACTTAAGATATCAGTTAATATTGTTATTTATAATTATGTTATTATACTCTTATAAATCTTTATAGTTTTTGGTCCCAGGGATTGAACCCAAAGGCACTTAACCACTGAGCCACATCCCCGGTCTTTTTATTATTTTTTATTAGAGACAGGGTCTAACTGAGTTGCTTAGGGCCTTTCTAAGTTCCTGAGGCTGGCTTTGAACTCAGGATCCTCCTGCCTCGGCCTCCCAAGTCACTGGGATTTACAGGCATGCCCCACCATGTCTGGCTATATGTAAGTTTTCTGCATGTTCCAGCTGGGATGATGGGGCTAAATGGTTAAATGAGATCTACTTACAAAGAGCATAGCACGAGGCACGTACTCAGTGGCGTGTTACAAATGGGAACTGTAGTTGCTCTTTGCAAGATTATAAATGCCTTCGTGGCTTGAAGGACCTGCATTCCCCCCGCCCCAGCTCAGCCTCATGGACGCCCTGTATGTGGTAGCTTCTCTGAGTTTCATGGCAAGGATGAATGCAAGTCCATAAATCAGGAATGTAAGAATACACCTGTGTCCTAGAAACCCAATCTGGCAGTGACTTGCCATTTTATCTTGCTGCTAAGTTCCCTTGGTGCTGGTTCACTGAGGTCACCTGCTGCCTCTTCACATACCGAGGCCAGGCAGGTGCCCAGTGCCCCTGGGCATTCCAGACAGTGGGTGCTGGTGGGTGGGGATGGCTCACCTGGCGTTGGCTCCTGGTTCCACTTTGCTTCTGACCTCAGCCACTGAGGGTCTTGGCACTCGGGTGTGAGAGCCTGGGCTGAGGTTCCCTGACTGTGGACACACCCAGAGCCTCACCCTCAAGACTGTCCAGGAAGCCGGTGCAGGTCCCTGATCCTTGTGCCCCCTTCTCTCCTCCTTCCTCCTATATTTACCTCCAAGGACACTCTGGAAGAGGATGATGATCCAGTTCTATCTTGTTCTTTTAGACAATGTAATTAGCCAGTTCCTCTGTGAATTTGTGGATTAAGGTGTTTGGAAAACGTAAGCCAGGAAGCACCTTGCCATCAATGTCTCCTAGGCAAGGAAGCCAAGAGCCTACTTTCTGCTTGAATTTTTGGAAGGAAAGAGGAAAACGGAGGGAGAAAAATGATCAATATTTATCTCAAAGTTGTGTTTTTGCTGGCCGTAGTGGTTGAATGGCTGAAGGTACCTTTCTGTGTATATTCAGGGCATTTTGTTGTAGTTCATGTAAGCAAAATGTGGTTTAGTGAAAATTTTTAACACGTGGTTTTCTCCACGTGCAAAGAAATGCACTTGGACCCCCCCCCACACCTCACACTGTACATAAAAATTAATTTAAAATCAATGAGAAGCTAAAAGTTAAAAACTCTCAGTAGAAAACACGACAGTACATCTTTATGACTGCAGGTCAAGCAGTGGTTCTCAGATGTGACACAAAACGAGAGGAGACCAAAGAAAAAGATAAATGGGACTCATTAAAATTTTAAAAGTTTGTGCTTCAAGGGAGGCCTTTGAGAAAGCCAATACACAACCTATAAGAGAAAAGAAAATGTGTCCAGATCATGTATCTGATGGACGATCTGTATCCAAAATGTATAAGAACTCTTAACTCAGTAATAAAAATACAAACAACCCAATTTGCAAAATTTCTGCAAAAGACCTGAGCAGACATTTCTCCAGAAAGATACACAAATGGCCAGTGGGTCCATGGGAGAGATGGTTGACATCACAGATCAATAGAAAAACTGCAGAACCGTCTGAAATCCCACCTCACAGTATGTGTCTGTTACAAAACAGAAACAAATGGTGGCCGTGATCTGGAGAAACTGGGGTGCTATAGTGAAGCAGCTACTTTGGGGAAAGAGTTTGGCAGAGCCTCAGAAAGTGAGGCACAGAGTTGTCTCCTAGGCCAGCGGTTCCATCTCTAGGGATCTACCCAGAAGAGCCCAGTCCTGACGAACACCTGTACACACTTTGCACTGCAGCAAGATTTCTTGCAACCAGAAGAAGAGGTGCAAGAATCCATCAAGGGATGAATAGAGA